CGCTATGAGTTGGTACCAACTCAATGGCACCTAACAACAACAACATCAATTTAATGAGTACTGTTATTATACCCAAGAACAATGGTGACACAGTGGTTAAGTGCTTGGTTAAGTGGTTAAGTGCTTGTCAAGCACAGCTGTTCCACAGGAAAAATAGTTGGCAGTCTGCTTTTGTCTCATAAGGTTTACAGCCTTGGAAACCCTATGAGAGAGTTCTACTCTGACCTTTAGGTTGGAGTCAACTTGATGGAAGTGGAGCACAGAGACGTTAAATAGCATATCAAGGTTACACAGCAGAGCTGGCGTTTGAACTCAGGCAGTGTGGCATAAATAAAACTCAGTGTACTTAGCCATTACACAGTCTCACACTGTGATGTGACCCTCACAGGTTGTGTGTAAAACAGTTGAGCGCAGTGACCAGCATATAGTAAACCAAACCCGGAACATTTGCTACTGAGTCAATCCTGAATTCTGTGCTCCATAAAATGTTCAGTGGGGAGTTCTCAGAACTAGGTTGCCAGGTGTATCTTCCAAGGGACCTCTAGGTCAACTTGAACTTCCAGTCTTTGGGCTAGCAGATAACTAAGTTAACTGTTAATACCATTCCTTAGCACACAGTCAGAACCAAACAATCTAACTGATGTAGACTTAGTTCTGACTCAGCGGCCCTAGAGGACAGAAAAGAATTGCTCCATAGGGTTTCTGAGGTTGAAAATCTTTACAAAAGCAGTGTCTCTCATATTTCTCCCATAGAATAGTTCGTAGATTTGAACCACGAACTTTTCATTTAGTAGTCCAATGCTTATCCCAATGCATTCCCAGGGCTCTTTGCATCAGACTGCAAAGTTGTTTGAGCTGCAAGGTCAGTGGTTCAAGCTCCCCAGCTTGATCCCCTATATAGGGTTTTGAAAACCCTATATAGGGTCGCTATGGGTCGGAATCAACTTGACGGTACTCAACAACAATCACAAGAGACACAGTAAAGATCTTTTCTGTCTCTCTTTCATGCTTTCCCTGAAGGCCTCCCGAGTCCCAGGGCCCACCCACCACCATCTCAGTGTGCTAACCTGGCCCATCTCCTGTGAGGAGCTCTTGCTGACAGCGCTATACTCGCTGACCATGGATCGGGCATGGCAGGTGAGACGCACACTCATGCTGTGCACCCGTGCCCAGCGGTCCTGGGCCAGTTTCTGCCCGATCCTGCGCAGCTCTGTGCTGATGACCCAACCCCGCTTGAGCAGCAGCTGTAGGGGGTCTCCGGTGCTGGGACCACCCGCCAGGATGAGGTCACCCTGCACATCTTCCTCCAGGCTGATGGGCTTCGCCTGCAGGACACACATGCACTCGCACTCGGTCATGAGCTTCAGGTCCTCCATCCAGCGCTGGACCGAGTCTACCTGCATCAGGTGCAGCCTGCAGCCAGAAGACACAACCATGATGGCTATAAACACTCAACAGTTTCCAGACATTTCGATTATACAGTTCCAGACTGTCTTACATTTATTAAACATCCACAACAAAGGGGCTTCAAAAACCTCCTGGGAAAATGAAATTTAAAGATAATGGAAAATTTCCATGACCATTTTGAAGTTCCCTTGGATATGCTGAGCAGTGTTTTTCTCCTTCAGGCATCTTAGTCCTCTGGATAATTTTTCATTATCCCCATCTTGAAGATAAAAAGGTTAAGGCACAGAAATTTAGGGGAGCATTGGTTACGAATCAGGCTGTGAACCTTAAGGTCAGTGGTTCGAAACTACCAGCTGCTCCGCGGGAGAAAGATGAGGCTTTCTACTCCCGTAAAGATTTACACCCTCGGAAACCCTGTACAGGGTCGCTATGGGTCGGAACCGACTCCACGGCACTTAACAACAACAACAACATGATGAGACTAATGAGCTCTGGAAGTGTAGTGGTTACGAATCAGGCTGCTAACCTCAAGGTCAGCAGTTCGAAACTACCAGCTGTTCCATGAGAGAAAGATGAAGCTTTCTGCTCCCGTAAAGATTTACAGCCTCGGAAACCCTGTACAGGGTCGCTATGAGTCAGAACTGACTCCATGGCATATAACAACAACAACATGACGAGACAAATAAACTTCAGACAATGAAATCTGACAGAATACCAGAGAATCTTTATGATGGGGAGGCAGTAAAAGAAGCTTAATTATTAATTATTAGTTTTGGTGTTAATTAATCTATGGTACCACTGCATGGTTAAATATCATACACTTATTTTAACTGATGCTTTCAAAAAGTTTACAACCAAGATAAACCTGTGCACCAATAAAGAGAGAAGAAATAATATGCAAAAATCACAAATTCATTATAATCACGTTTTCTTTCTTTCTTTTTTTTTTTTAAACTATGCCTAGAAAATATTTAAAGATATTAAAATGTTAACAGCTCTTTATGGGTGGTGGAACTAAAGTCTTTAATTTTTTCTATTTTCCAAATTTTTCTATAATGAACATGTGTATTACTTTCATAATAGAGCCAAATTAATTCTGTTTAGTATAGCAGCATGAGGACACAGTTTTGATTGTTAGATTTTAATCAAATAAAATTCACTCTAAAATCCATCTGTTATTGTTGTTAAGTCCAATCATGTTGGTCCCAACTCATAGCCACCCTGTATAGGATTTCCTAGGGGTGGCTAATGAGTTTCAACTATCAGCCTTGCAGTTAGCAGTCCAGTGTCTATCCTACAGTGTTGCAAATAAAATTCAGTAACATGAGATCATTAATGAAATCATTCAGCATTTTTTAATATCTATAAGGAGCTCTGGTAGCGTAGTGATTACGAATCCGGCTGTGAGCCGCAAAGTCAGTAGTTCGAAACTACCAGCTGTTCCACAGGAGAAAAGATGAGGCTTTCTGCTCCCGTAAAGATTTCCAGCCTCGGAAACCCTATATTGGGTCGCTGTGAGTCTGAACCGACTCCACAGCACATAACAACAACAACAATATTTAATATCAAGGAGCTCTGATAGTGTAGTGGTTATGAATCGGGCTGCAAACTGCAAGGTCAGTTGTTTGAAACTACCAGCTGTTCCATGGGAGAAAGATGAGGCTTTCTGCTCCCGTAAAGATGTACAGCCTTGGAAACCCTGTTCAGGGTCGCTATGGGTCAGAACCAACTTGACGGCACTTAACAACAACAACAACAACATTTAATATCATATAAGGAGCCTTGGTAGTATAGTGGGTTATGAGTTGGGCTGCGAACCACACACAATGTCAGCAGTTTAAGTCTACCAGTTACTCCATTGTCCCCCTCTACTTCACCAAAGATGAGATCCTTCTCTAACACTTGATCCTTCCTGAAGACAAGTCTGAGGCAAGTCCAGGAGAGAATATTTTGCTGTGATCCATAGGTTCTCATTCACAAAAATTCAAAAGTAGATCAGCAGGCCTTTCTTCCTACTCTGTCTTCCTCTGGAATCACCATCGAAACCTGTCTACCCTGAGTGACCCTGCTTGTATGTGAAACACCAGTGGCTTTGTTTCCAGCAGCACACAAGCCACCACAGTATGACAAACTGACATATGGGTAGTGGAGCCCATAGCCAGAGCTCAGAGAGCCCCTTCCCTGAGTCCTGTACCTCTGTGCATCCTTCAGTACACCAATCGCATTCTGTGGCAATGAGTGAGTTTGGTTGACTGAATTCTCCAAGTCCTGTGAAGCATGTTCTCTCATCTGTGCTATTGTCAGTGCCAGACATTTAGCAGTCACCCAATAATACATCTCCATAAGCATATGCCAAATAAATGAATGACTGAATGTTTGGAATTTATTGTTGTAACTCTGCAGGTGATATCAAATGCCTCCCTAACTCAGGCTACCTGAAGGGTACAAAAGACTAACAAAATGAGCAAAAAGATCCAGAGAACAGGAAGACACATGATCACTATGTTCTAGAGATACAAAACTGAAAGCCAAACTGACGTACGGGCTGAAAAGAGACAACAAATGCAATCAATCATCTCTCACTCACTGACTCACTGATTCCATAAACAATCCGCAGTGGACATCTGTTGTTTTTGTCTTCCCAGCATCCCTTCCTCCTTTTTGATCAATTGTAAAGAAAAGCTGCATTAGCTACTGGGTGCCTAGATCAAATCTTTTCCCTTCCTTTAGGAAAGACGTCCCCCATCTCAATCAGAGTTGCCCCCAGGTGAGCATGCCTGGGCTATGTGAAACTACCTCCACCCATAATATATAGTTGATTTAAGTGGGGGATGGATTCCTGACCATGCTGCACTTTACCCCACATTGTGAAACTTAGAACCAACTAGAGTTGTTGGACATGGGTCACGTGGACAGCAGCAACTTTAGCTGTTCAGATCCATTCTACTTTCCACAAGAAACTCCAGGACCATATGAGGAGATCAACCCAAGAATTACTTTCTAATGCTTGTAGCCAAAATAATTTTTCCTAGAAACAAGTATACCAGTACTAAGGACCATTGAGTCAGTGATATTTGTTAGAGAAAGGCTATTTTAGAAAGTCATCAGAGGGAACGATCCCTTCCAGTTGGGGGTCAGGGGAAGCTGCTTGGAGAAGGTAGCTTTAGAGTTGGGTAGATTTGGGCATGTGAAGATAGTGGGGGCATATTCCCAGATGGGGCAGACAAAGGGGCAATGAGTTGGTCAGTTGGACTGGACTTATGGGTCCCATGAAAGGTGGGAGAAGTGAAAAGAAAACTAGAAAGCCAAGCCAGAGTCCAGACTTTGAGAAGTCAAAGTAGGGGTGGGTATTTATGCTGGAAGTTCGGAGAAGCTATAGAAAGGTGGCAGATCAGGGCCACAGGGGTGGAGATGGATGAACCTATGAGACTGTGCTAAACCATGGCACCTAGGACTAGCACCAAGGACAAAGAAGGCCTGTTGGGCTGGGCAGGTTCTCAGTGTGTCCCCCTGGGGAAGAACTCTGGAGATCCTCCGACTGGAGATAGGTACTCACACCCACTTCCCTTTGGCCTGGATGGAAAAAGGCCAGCTGACTCCAGCAGCCATGGAAGAAGCAGGAAAGGAGAAAATAAGAAGGCACAGACACTGAATTACTCAGGTCTAGGCCCATCCTATGGAGCCCTGAGGGTACTGTGGGATAATCACTGGATTGCTTACCACAAGGTTGGCTGTTCAAACCCACCAGCCATCCTCAGGAGAAAGATGAGATTGCTCCCGTTAAGATTTGCAGTCTCAGAAACCCAAAGGAGCAATTCTACTCTGTTCTGTTGGGTCACTAGAAGACCTACATTTTAAATTTAAAACTCGCATTTTCATCACCTTCTCCTCAACTCTCACTCTTTATGATCTTTAAAAATTAGAAAGTAAGTTTTCAGAAGCTGTGTTAATAAAAATTCTAGTCAATTAATTACACTGCTAGAAGGAGAAGTGGAGTGACAAGACTATTGATTTCTCCAGTATCTGCGTGTTTGTCTATGAATGTCTGTGCTTGTGGCTATGAATTCATCTGAGTGTCTGCCTCTATCATCTGTATAACTCTATTTGTGTGTCTGTGTGTGAGTTTACGGATACTTTCCTGCACAAATGCTCAGATGTGTGTGTATTTATAGGTTTAATCATCATAAACTTGATGATTAAAAATGGAGGGGGGCTGCTTGAGTATGGTCTATGCTCAGTAACTGGCTCCCAAAGAAAAGAGTATGGAAAAGGGGCAGAGGAGTGACTTTATATGCAGAAACTGGCAAACACTACCTTGACTTAAGATCAAGGTTAATATCACCAGAAATGACCCATGTTGATAACACATACCCCTGATATTATATGATGAGGACACTCCACCTATGCAACACTGTTCCCAGAAACACATAACCCCAGTCTAAATACGAGAAAAACAATCATTCCCAATTGAGGAATACTCTACAAAATACCTAACCAGCACTCCTCAAAGCTCTCAGGGTCGCTAAACACAAGGGATGACTGAGAAACTACTGTTGACTAGGAGATGCGACAATAAAATGTAATATAGTATCTTGGAAAGAATCCTAAAACAGAAAAAGGACATTCATACAAAATTAGTGCAATTGGAATATGTAGTCTGGAATTTACTTAACAGCAAGGTACTAAGCTTTGATAAATTTTTCATGGTAAATATACCATATAAGACATTAACAAGAGTAGAAACTGGGTATGGGGTATACAGGAACATTTTATACTATCTTTGAAACATTCGAAACTTTGAACTTTTTATACTATCTAAATCTTTTCTAAAATTTAAAAGTTGATTTATATATTAAAAACAAACAAACAAAAACAATAACAAGAGTGTGGGGTAGAGTCCAGATGCCAGACCTAAGGATTCTTTAGTCCACCCCTGCAGGAAGAAAGTTTACTTCCATTGTTTTTCCCCAATCAAAAGCATGACATGTCTCTCTGTATAGTGAACC